GCTAGAACAAACGATAAAATTTATATCTTAGAAAAATCATTTAATTTTTTTACCTCACTTTGGAGAATTTCTGATTGAAAGACTAACTTGCACTCTCCTTTTATTATAAAAAAAATGTGGGTGGGCATTTCAGTAAACTGGGCCCTTGACGAATTTCTTGTAAATTTCACTTTTGAGGACACCTGCCCATTCGACAGATGCAATTAAATCTCCCATATTTGCATTTTATTTTAAAAAAAACGCTAAATTTTGTTTTGGGTAATTGGATATTATTTGTATTCAAAATGAAATTGATATGCTTTTTATATGCACAAGCCTTCTACCACTTGACCAGGAAAGACAGCAAATATCCGAAAACCACTTTGAAAGGGAAAATGTGCATTCCTTCTCTTCGTAAATAAGGATTTGGAGCTTTGGGGTGTGCGATAGACTTATCTTCGCGTGGTGCACTCTAGGCAACGTATGCTCATACGGCAAAAAGTCTATTAACCGGCAGTTGACTTCTTACTTCAAACCACCATCATTCCACTGTATGTCATATTCGACTACCTCCACAGTACTCACCTCACATTTTTATACCTTTTCTACATTCGTCTTTGAAACACCCTTCTGTCCTCCCGCTCGAGTTTTTCCCTTCGATGTTCCGTCCTCTTTACAATGCCTGAAGTTAACTAAAAGGCTAATGATAACTATCAAAACGCTTGCCATTTAATATAAATAAATAAATAAATAAAAGGATTTGGAGCAAGGCCACTCAGTTTATTAGTCTTTTGGAAGATTCTAAACCTTTCATTAAGCAATTTGCATTAAATTTTGGATGCTTAACATTGCTCATTATTAAATAACTGGGTCTTCTTCAGTCGTGTTAGTGCTTGCATTGCAATTGAGCTAATATCGATTGCAGACTTTCCATTACCCTAAAGCCCCACCTATTTTGTTGTTACTTTACCAATTTTGGTAAAATGAACAATTTGCGCAATGTCGCCACTGACGCACTTGCATTGTTCTTCCACTGCACGAACATGCGCATTCCCTCCCCTCCCCCCCCCTGCTTCGAATTCAACGCAAATGATGCGATGAGTCAGTGGAATATTCAATATTTTTAAATGAAGAATTATACACACAACGCACGAACTTTGGCCACCTTCATCTGTACCCTTCATCTGTTTTCTCTCCCGGTTTATGCAAACCCTAATTGGGATTAATTTGGTCGGCAAAATACTCTTTGCCCCTCTAAAGATTGCAATACTGCTATTCTAATTTCTTTATAGGCAATCTTCATTTTAAATTTGATTATTTTCATTTGTATTGTCCACTCTCTTTTAATTATGCTAGTACAGTTCCCAAAAAAGCTGAAAAATAGAAGATTCTTTTAAAAATTGTGGGAAATTTCACAATAATGACAATTTTATTACATAATTGTTTTTTTCCTTACCAAATTAAAATTTCACCAGTGCTACTAAAACAGCTGTCCACACAACCGACCGAATTCTCTGGGGGTTGTCATATATGTATTTTTAGGATAAAATGTAGCATACTGCCGAATATTAATAATTATAATTGACAATGGAAAATCTAAGTAATTTGAGTCATTAGTTATGCCGGTGTGTCTAAACGTAAAGGGGGCAAGACGCTTCTTATTGAACAACTGGTAGTACCACCCAAAGGATGAGAATTATGAGAATAATCAAGTGTTATCCGAATCAATCAACTAGCGAGTAAGATGAATTTGGTTAGCAATTGAGTTAATTAAGGACTAAACCCGTCAATATCAATGAGAATATTAGAAACTTTTAAATGTGAAAGATATAAATATGCTTTGGAGCGATGTCATATGAATCCCGACTTCCACCAGTTCTCCTGTTGGGCAGAATCAACTAGCACTGTTTGCCACTCACCTCACTACTTTCCGTATAAAAAGCTTCGATCACCTGAACTCTGACCTCCCATCACTTCCTCTCATTTAAAAGAGCAAAATACCCATTTTAGCATGTGGGACCTAATTAAGTAGTAAGAACATCTTCCATGTTTTAACTGTAACATTAAGTCGATAACTGTGTTAAGTAGTCAAATTCCTGAGAATTAATTATACAACTGCCAGAATAGACTCCAGTAACAATTGTAGCCTATTGGTATTGACCAATATAACAAGCTATAAGTCGAAACAGGTACTGCACTTAGAGAGAATAATTTCTGTCATAACAAAGCTAGTTCCCACAAACCGAGTAAGAAATTAGCCCCTGCAAAAGTGCTATTTATTGTTAAGGTCTCTTTCGTTCCACCCCCCCCCCCCTCTCTCCCTTTAAATATCACGCGTTTCGGCTGAATCACTTAGAAGCCAAACAATAAAATAAGCTGATGGATCGCAGATAATTACTCAGTCAATAATTATAAAATAGAAGGCCATATTTCATTTACAGATTTCCATTTTTCAGCATTAAAATAACGTAGAACTAATGATTATAACTGGGATAGTCCTGTTGCCAACTCTTCTTAATACCACAGAGCTCAAATATACCTTTTCAACTTCAAAGCTTAATTTTATTACATTGTCACATCAATTGAATATTTGACTAAGGAGATCTTTGATCGAATAGAAGGGATCGAAATGGGCTAGATGATGTTATCAGGATTAGAGGAATTTGGCTTCCTTTGATCTTCTGATATTTCTGCTACAACTATTTTTTGCATAAACGACAAACCTTAATGTAAGGTGATTTTTTTCAAAGTTTAAAGTTAACGATTTAATCCGTAGTTCAATGGTCAGGGTTCGAAGACCAGATTTCGCCTTCATATGAAAAAACCCGATCGACATTTAACTCGTTACCTTCGAGTATAGTAATGACTGATATGGTTGCCGGGACTTCCTTCCCACCCAGTTCGCTATTTCTCTGCCAACAATACTCGATTTTGCATTTAATATTACATGACAAACACAAGTATGCAGTAGGCGATATTATAATCTTCTCATACTTAATTTCAAACGTCAAACTAACCGTTATTTTTACGAATGTCAACGATCGAAATGTGTTATCACCACCGAGGGAGTTGATTCACTTTCGAAAACATCGGCAACACCACTTCGAACTGCCGAGTGGCGTCTTTGTCTCTGCCCCCCCCCTTTCTGTGTAATTTGTTTAAGATAAATTAGGGCAGCCTCCATGGCAGACATTTAAACTACAAAATGAATGACGATTCGCTTCGGCCATAATTAACGGAGATTGTGTTTACTGCAAATTGTCCTTACAACATTGCAAAAATGATCTCACATGAAAAGGAGAATTGCAATGGAGTCTAGAATGCTTCTGAGGCTAAACGGGGATACTAGAACTGATCATCAAACCTGATCCAATTGCTGTCCCACAACACACCTCCTCAAGACCTACTACAGCATAGTGGTCGAGCTCTTATTATAGCAGGTGTTTCGTCGCCACAGTTATGCGAATGTACCACTCACTATCATGAAGCTTGCACTCAGTGAAGACTTTCCACACTATATCGATTTAGATTTGACTGAGATGGCTTTCTCTTAACAAGGTCCACGAAATTGGCCTGACAAAAGAGAAGAGATTTCTGATCAGGGTGTAGCATTCTGCTGAGGCACAAACAATCTGGTTCTTTTCCGATGAGAACAGCTCAATTTACATAAATTCCCATGGTTTTAGGAGATGTGTCCCACTTCGGGGTTGATGCGATGGGATATGAAGCCTCTCTCCCCACCCCTCCCCTTCCCTCAACTTCCAAATAGTTTTCAAGAGAGGATTGGGCTGAATTCAGGTGGCTACGTGAGATTGTTGGTCACTGTGGTAGTTAATACTTGGTTGGCTAACGAGAGTAAAGGAAAAGAGAATATAACTAACTTAGTAGCAGGATTCGAGCTCTTGCCACATCTCAGGTTGCAGATCAAAACTTGTTGAACGGCGATATTTTAGAGATACTTATTTTAATAAACTTCCCCTTTGCCCCCCTCCCACAACTTAACTTGATAAACTAGAGAATAATCCTTGGACGGTGTGGAGGAGAACATCAATCTTCTAGTCAGTTCTATAATAGCTAACCAGATGGTGATGAGGAAAAAATTAACGTCTGCGTCCCTTCTCGATCAAAGTGTAGAATCACCTTTCTCCAGGTTTCACAGTTGGGGGAAGGAAAGGAAAGAGTGGTACTAATTGAGGCTATTTTTATTAAACTATTTTCATAATAATGGCGTAATTTCCCTGTCTATCAAGGTTATTGTTGATCTATTCGATTTGCCCCCTCATCACACCTCTTTCTTTCAAATTACCTCTCATAATCCTTTAAGGTCATTCAATATAACCATCGTCAATTCCAACTCTTGGTTCCCTGATGTTGGAAGGATTGTCACAAGGTGTCTCCAAGAAAAGTATCAATTGCAAAGTGGATAGTTCTTAGATTATTTCGATAGAACTCGCAGAGTTCGTTCATACACATGCCATTATATTTATTTGACAATTTGCCCTATATTGGTCAGTGAGTAGTAGTTATGGTCCCACTTATTCTACTCTTCACATTTGCTGTTTAAACAACGTCATTTTGTCTTTTCCTTTCCTGGGGTTGTTATGCTCGGGTCTTTCTCTCATAAGTTCGTCCCAGATTGGGATTACATGACCTCCTGTTCCAGCCGTTTCGTTTTACGCCTTTTCCAGAAAATAGGCTAAGTATTTGAAGAAACTGACCATTTGCCAATTTATGTTAAATCCTAGCATTTGTGTTTTAAAATCGAATTCTTTGAAATAAGGAAGCCAATCTTGAAATGGCCAGACTCACCAGAAGTTTGGAAAGGCAGCACCATCTATTTGTTTAATCGAGTGTTTTATTTTTTCATACATGATGCATAAGTCTCCTTTAAAGCGGAGAGAGTGGTAAAAGAAGACTTGAGAGAGGGAGGGAGAGAGAAGGAACGTTCAAAATACACATACGTATAAATACAGAGGCATCGACCGATATTTACAGGCAGAGAATAGCGAACTTATTGCCAATCACCGTCGTTTGAAATCAAATCGCAAAATCCTAAGGAAAGCCTGTTTGAATTGAGCATTGGCCAGGGCATAGCAGAAAGGATTTATCGGCGAATTCAAATAGCACATCCAGTAGGCCATATAGTAGATGTGGGAGTTAACACATGAGTAGGCATTTTTGGGATTATCACAGAAACCCTTGATCAGAATCACAATGTGGTAGGGTGTCCAACAAATAACAAAGGCGCCCAAAATAATAGAAATAGTTTTGAGGGCTTTACGTGCTCGGTTGGCAGTTCTACCACGTTCCATAGGAGCTTGATTGGCACCACTTGTGCCGGATTCTTGACCTCGGTGGAGGTAGCTATTCAATTCCCTCTTCTTCTTTCCTGACCGAAGAGTTTTTTTTGACGTACTTGCCGTACGACTGCCAGAGGAGTTGTTCTCTAAATTTCGGCTATTGCTATTGTGCCTTGATTGGAAGATACCGTCGTGATTGGCTTTTGGATACTTGTCATCCTGCATCATGAGTCGATCCTGCCATATTTGGGCTACCCGAGCTGCACTGGCTTTAGACACTCTTCTGGCGTTCATATTGGTCTTTTGAGGACTGGATTCGGAAAAGGGACAGACTTGAGACGTGATGCTAGACTCTTTAGGTCTCTCATTGGGCGTCATTTGAATCATGCTAGAATTTCGGTTAAATGTCCCCGATGGTCGACATTCATAGCTTGGTGGTACATAATCAAAGACATTGAAATCTTTATCTGATACTTGGTCCTTTTCAAACTTAGAGGGGATCTCACCGGTACTGCTATTATAGGATTGATTGGGATTGGAGTAGGCGAAACTAAGCTTCAAACTGCTTTCCTCACTACAATTTTCCATGTCGTTAAAAATGTGAACAGCTGGAGATGAGGGAAAAGTGTACAAATTGTTTTCAAACATTTTAGTCGATTCGGGTATTTCAGGATCGCTCAGATGCGGTGAACGGATGTCGACAAACACAGTTTCAGTTATGGAAGTTGGCGAAGCTTTTGGTGAACAATTGCCGATTGGGTACGAATTGGATTCAGAGAAACATTCGTTGGTATAAACTCCCATTCGTGTCTTATTATGAAATGGGTTTGAATTGTTAACATTAACTGCATCTCTAATAGGCTTAACTAGACCACAATAAGGCATATTTCCCTCCCTCTTTTGATCATTTGGGAGCTTTGTGGATGCTTGAAGAGGCTTCCGTGAATCATGCTGTGGAATTGGAGTGGAATCAAATTCTCCTGATGTCACTCGGGCACCTGTCTCATTACTACTCGCTAAGTGATAGGATTCCGCAAAGTCCATTTCAGTCTCGTTCTGAATTGATGCAACACTTTTTCCAGAAGCATTTTGATACATGTTCATATAATTCTTAACCTTAGCCTTCTTCTTCTCCGACTTCTTTTGGAGACGCAAAGCTACCATATAAATGCCTATATAGAGTCCAGTCATCACAGTTAGAGTTACCCAGAAATAGGTAATGGTAAGAATAGTATTAAACATAGGATTACTCGAGAACTCTGCGTAACATTCCAGTTTCTGTCGGACGAAGTTGGTTTCACTGAAATGAGGCCATCCAAGAAGAGTTGTGAAAAATATAGACGACGGCAGAATCCACGTTATTGCAATCATAATAAGAATCTTATTACCAGTTCGCCAATTTCGATACTTTGCTGGAATTTTGACGGAGAAGAACCGATCGAGAGTTATGAAAAAGACTGTATATTGACTGGTAAGACAGAGTGTATGGTCCAATCCCAACCAGAGATCACAGAGCTCTCGGCCAAGTGGCCAGTATCCAAGAAGAAGATATGTAGTGTACAAATTCATAGAAAAGATACCAATCAAAACATCTGTGACAGCCAAAGAAGCTATGAAGTAGTTTGTTGGAATTCTAAGAGTCCTTTCAAGGTAGAAAGCAGCCAGAACCAGTACATTGCCTCCAATAGTTACACTTGAAGCGATTATAGTTAGTATTACAATTATTACAGTTGAAGCCTTCCCATATACAATGACCTCCGCTAGTGCTAATCCATTTGGTTTAGTCGGAGGTGGAATGTTGGTGGTGGTGGTGGTGGTGGTTTCAAATATTGGAGTGTTGAAGGACGATCTAGAGCCATTTCCTTTTTGCTTTTTCTCCGCTTCATGGTAGCGAAAGAGAAGATCAGTGGCGTTGTGAATTCGAAAGACGTTTTCAATTTCTGGAGACCCAGGTGTTGTGGTTCGGAAATAGGACTGGGTACTTGAAGTTGAACGTCGTTCTTCAGCCCATTTTGAGTAGCGGATTGATTGGGAAGATGGAGCCCAATTATCCTCTGAGTCAGGTTTCCAAATTGAGATTCCCTGGCTAGACGCTTCCAAAATAGCTTGCAAAAGGAGAATGATTGACCCAAAGTAACTTGCAGATTGCATGAGTTCATTTGATATCCGTCATTAAACTACAATTAGAAATTTGAAACGTGGTTTACTCAATATATATATATATATATATATATATATATGCGCGCATGTGTGTGTTTATTGTTTATCTTTCTAAAATAAACAAGTATTTACTAATACTGATGTAAGTATTTAAGTGCAGCAAAATCTTTTAAATCTTTTATATAACTTGATAAAAACATACTTATAGCAGCTAATTCTAATAGTTTAAAGTGAATTAAAAAATGCAATAGTAAATAACATGACGATCAAGTTATTTAAGAAAGTTAATTTTCACAAAAAAATGGAAAAAAGCGTTTCAGGTCGAATGGTGTCAGCAACCTCGAGTTCAGTGATTTCATTAATTCAACTACTAAACACACACAAACACACACACACGAACACACGGACACTCACAAACACATCTTAATGCTAAATCTCAATACTGGAAAATTGGCATTAGCAGAAAGTAAAATGATTTCAAATGAAATAAATTCACAAATTAAATGGCGGTATTTTTTTCTAAATGTCTTCCAAGGGAAAAATGTTGACGTGATTTGCCATTGCTTTTCTGCCTTCCAATCTTAGGGGGAATAAATTCTGTCACTTCGGGTAATCTTTTGGCCTTCTTCCTCTACTCCCCCACCCAAAAAAATACACAAAATGATCTTGCCTTCAAACTAGAAAAAATCCCATTTATAGACATTTTACAAGAAAAAAAAGAAAAAAAATTTACGAAGACATATTAAAGCAAAAATTGAATAAGATGCCCCCCAAATTACGTGTTTAAACTTTAAGAAAACAACTTTAGAGGAGAAAATTCGATTACGAAAAGAAAAAAATTAAGACAATTTTAAAGTTGCAAAATTTTTAAGAAATCCTCTGAAGTGCAACAAAAGAGGGAGTTGGGGGGGAGGGACTAGCAAGGATCCTACTCAGTTGGGAAACTGTCGTATTTTAGTCTAACTCGCTAGCACTTCATAGCGGTTTAAATTGCCTTCTCAGAATTGTCCGTGGAAATACATCACACTCAAAGAATTATTGCTCTGCTAAATAGGAGAGAAAAAGTCAATCCTTATGAGCTGTGCTTTAATCTTCCCCAATTGGTTACTACCTGTTAATTTTTAATTACTAGGTAATTTTTTTCCATTTTTGATCATGAGTTGAGGATGTCTGCTAAAAGTTTGATCGGATGTGAATTATAAGCAAGCATAACTTTAGCTCTTATTCAATATCAAAAGGCGCTATATTTGGAAGGTATGGCTGAACTCATTTATCCAGCCACATATCTTTTTCTCTCTCCCCCTATTTAATCGTTTTTTTTTCAATTAAAACGCGTCATATATGACAGTGCTCAGTAGCATAATAGTAAATTTAAAATCTCTACTCCAACTCATTCTCTGCTAATTTACGACAACGGTTAAGATGCCTGAACAAAAAAACGTTACAATAGTGGCGGTTATCTTCTAATAAACGCCTATAAAAAGACTTAGTTGAGCCCCATCAGACACAAATTCACATTAAGTGATAAAATTTTCAAATACGATTCAAGAAAATATGCATATCTGCAAATTGATATTAAGTTGCCTCAATATAAGATTATTCATTATAAAAAATGTGTAGATATAATATTGTAAAATTTAATGAAATTAAAAATTATTATTTTATGCTTTCGATAAACATTAAAGGAATTTTAATAAATAGGCGCGTTCTATTTGAATGGAAAAATTTTTTTCTAATGACTTACCATATTTTTAAATTCATTTAAATTTACCTATTAATGCAATGCGGATAATCTATTAAATTAAAAGATCTCATTGTTTATTTTCTTTCAAGCCAATTAAGTTGCCGAATTTTCTAATTCAATGTAAAATGACAAACAAGAAATTGTCCAGACCATCGCCCCATCTGAATCAAAATCACAAATATTTTTATTTGTATTTATCGTTTCGCATCGGCTATCGGGTGAATGTACAGTGTTAAGTTGGTGCAAAGATCTAAACGATTACATCAAATGTGTTTTAAATTTCATTGTGAAATGAGTATTCGAGCATTAAAAATACATTGCGGGCATAATATTTTTGTTTAAAACTTTTTGGTTATTAAAATATTGGAGCTTTAGCAGAATTTGTTAGTTAACATAAAGATGTCTATTGATATAAATTGAAGATTCGTTGAAAGCAATTAGTCAAAACATGATTGGGAAGCCATAATTAGAGTCCGAGATCAAATATTTAGATGACCACTTAGACCATCTTCCACATACCTGGGAATGAAGCCTTTTATGATGGGGAAGCTCATTGAAAATAATCCATTAGAGGTAGAAAGTCACATGTACCCATTGTGTATATTCTTAAAACCACGAAGAGATCGTTTTTTTGTAGAAGAGGAACACTATTCGTTGCAGCTGTAACTTGACAGACCGATACGCACACACGAGGGAATGATGATGTCGTCTTGAGCTCGACTGGTCACACGCACACACCCCATAGCTTTGTTGCTTTGCTCCATCCTGATTGGTTATCAAGAAGAGCGCGCTCTTCGGTTCAGATGCACGTGTGCACTTGTGCAGTGATGTCGCTTTTTCGTTGCAGATGTATTAGGATTAACACCGTTTTATAACTTTTAAGCCTAAATTTCCATATCCACCTTGACAGCATCCAAGTAATCTGAATTTGTATTCAGTAAAATAACTGAGTCAAGTTCGGGAGGATATTATTGTGAAATAACAATAATAATAAAAGTCATTCATATCGGCTAATGTCCCATGTCGTTACTTTTAATATTCTGCCTCAGCCAAACACATAAATTATATTTTTTTCCAGGCACTCTGTGTTTTCGTGTCCGAACAGTAGACGAAATGTTTTCGAACAAATGCAGAGATTTACATGCCCATGATACCTTGAGGAATCGTAAGACAAACTTGAACTTGTCTCCGTCGCGTCAGTCATTCACTTGGAATGTTGAATGGGATGCACATTAAGGTCAACTAGCCTTCTGCCTTACTTTGAAGGCCGGAAGGTAGATAAAATTCAAAGCCTATGACTGGAAAGACAAAGATTTCTATGCAGTTTTAGGCGTAACTGGTGCATCATGTCTTGGCATGAGGAGTGTGCGATAGACCTACCTCCACGTGGCAAATACGGGGTGTGCGATAGACCTACCTCCACGTGGGGCACCCTGGGCAACGTATACTCATACGGCAAAAAGTCTATTGACCGGCAGTTGACTTCTGAGTTCAAACTACCATGACCCCACTGTATGTCATATTTGACTACTTCTACATTACTCGCCTCACCTTTGTTTTACCTTTGTGTCTGTCTCTTTTACATCTTTGAAACACTCTTCTATTCCACCCCCCCCCCCCTTTCGACTTTTTTCACTCTGATATTCCTTCCCCTCTAAGGAGCCTGAAGTCCACTAAAGGGCTTATGGTAACTATTAAAACGCCTGCCATTTGATATAAATAAATGTCTTGGCATGATTGAGAGCATTCCGTTTTTGATGTAGCCTGGAAGTATCGTCAATTAGGCTAAAGTTGCGCTAAATGACATTTGTCATTAGCGAATGATTACAATTTTTATGTCACCTCAATGCACAAATTTATTTCACAAATGATGCAGACGGAACCGGAAAATATTTAAAATATTATATGTCGAGGAGACGCTATCCATTTATTTTATTATTAGTGTTAATAAAATTCCGTTTAATAAAGTGCACTTTATGGCTAGTTGATTTTAAACAATTAATATTGTAAAATTGACCTTGTTGACGAATATGATATTTGAAATTAAATCCGATAAAACTTTAAGAATTGAATAACTTATTACCAAAAATGAAATAGAATGCCAAAAGAAAGGATCGAATTGGGCTCGTACAAGTTGAATTAGGCACTATGAAGAATTAAAAACGACAGTCATAAACAAGACAGTGCGAGGGAACTCCTTACTGAGACATATACGAGTGTGGGATCGCCCATGTAGCACTTAAAAGTAACTTATACGACAAAGGGAATTGCGAACCAATAGAACGCCTGAGCATGCCACAGTTGACCGAAACGTGTGCACGCAGTTGACTACGAAAGAGGTGTAGACGAATAGAGTATGAAGGATGAAGATAAGCATGTGACAATTTAGCTTCTGATGCACAAAGGGACAGAGTTAGGAGTACAGCAACGCGCGTGATCAAGCCGGAGACAAAATTGGTTAGAGTTTATTTAGGTATCAATCGAATTTAGACCTTTTTAAATCTAAAATTGCTCATTTAGAGGCGTAGCACAGTTTTTCGCATTTTTTGATTGACATAAGTATAACTATTGTCAATGGTGTCCTTCTTAGGAAAATAAGTTTTATTTTAACCAACTATTAATCAAAGTAAGGCTTATCGAGATCTTTTTGCAGCCAATAGTATCACAATGACGCCAAGTGCGTCCGATGAAAGCAAGGTTATGGCCCGTGCTGTTGCCAAGCTTAAGCATCGAAGAATTCGCTCGTGGGTTGCTATAAATAGAGACCATTTAGTTCTCCTATCTTCTTTTGTCTCAATAGCTATCAACTCCAAGTAGAATAGAATTTCATGCATGGTCAAGCCTAAAGCAAGTCGTTCAACGCCTCAATAAAGTTTTTTTGTGTTCTGATTGAACCAGATCGATATGACTAGTGGGGGTGTGCGATAGACTTACCTCCACGTCGTGTATCCTGGGCAACGTATATTGATACGGCAAAAATGTTTATTAATTGGCAGTTGACTTCTCACTTCAAACTACCACCACCTCACTCTATGCCATATTCGACTACTTCCACAGCACTAACCTCACTTTTTTCTACCTTTGTGTTTGTCTCTTACAACTTTGGAACACTCTTCTGTCCCCCCCCCCTCTCGAATTTTTTTCAATTTGATGTTCCTTCCCCTCTGTAAAGTCTGAATTCAACTAAAGGGCTAATGATAACCATCAAGACGCCTGCCAGTTGATATAAATAAATGAATAAATAAAT